GTCTGAGACTTTTGTCTTACAATGCTCATCATTTTTTCATTTATGAAAACATCGATCAAAAATAGCTTGGGGCTAGGCATGGTGTCTCATGCCTATAGTCCCAATACTTTGGGAGGTGAAGACAAGAGGATTACTTGAGTCCAGGGGCTCGACACCAGCCTGGACAACTTTGCGAGATGTCTTCTATACAATAAATAAAAAATTAGCTGGGTATGGTGATGCCTGTAGTTGCAGCTACTTGGAAGGCTGAGATGGAAGGACCGCCTGAGCCCAGCAGGTCAAGGTTACTGTGGCCATGATCCTGTCACTGCACTCCAGCCTGGGCGACAGAGTAAGACTGACTCAGGCAAACAAAAAGGTTGGGGAGGGGGGTTGAAAGGATAGTTAAAAAGAACATTTAGGGGTCTGCCGTGCTGGGCCGGCTTCCGGGTCCGCGGCCAGGTGTGGGCGGCGCGTGCGGGACCGTGGGACTCTAGCAGTGCACAAGGCGGAGCCCACAGACTTGTGGCGTCGGTGTCGCGGCTGACGCTGTGACTGCACCCCGAGCCTCCGACTTTGGTGTGGCCCCCGGGTTGATCCGGCCCGTAATCCCCGCGGCGACGCCCGTCCCGCCTCACCCCTGTCCCGGCGGCCCCAAGTCCGCGCGCTAGCGTGCCGCCGTTCAAGTCCACTCTTTATTTCCTTAGCCCGGATTTACACGCATCGGTGGATGAGGCCGACCTGAGAGGAGCAGCCGGTCTCTCGCCTGCCTACTGTGAATTCTCTCCAGGTTTGCTCTGGACAGGCCTGGGTGGGCCGTCCTGTACTTCCCCTCTTCCTTCACTGGGGCAGCTCCAGGACGATTTTGCCTATGTTCTTGTTAGTCTCCATGTACTTATGGGCCTCTTGGATTTCGGTCACTGGGTAGACTCTGTCCACAACCGGTAGCAGGCGTTGGGGGCCCTCCGTGGAGAAGTGGGGCAGAATTTGCTCCGTGAAAGCTTTCACCAGCATTTGCTTGTACTAAGATGAGAAAAAGGAGACCGTCAGCCTGGCCAGAGGCTTCCCCTGCCACTCCCCATCCTCCTTAGCCTTCCTGCGCTCTCTGAAACCGAAAAGCATACGGGGCCCTGAACCCCTTCACATCCCAGCATGTATGTTCATGCCACTGAAGGAGTGAAGGATGAACCATCTCAAAATATGTCAGGCTGACTCTGCACTTTGGGAAGCCGAGGCGGGCGGTAAATATATCCATACTTGAGGCTGGGCAACATAGCGAAACGTCTCTACAAAAACAAGCCGGGCTCGGTGGCTCAGCCTGTAATCCCGCGCCTTTGGGAGGCTGAGGTGAGTGGATTGCCTGAGCCCGCGGGTTCGAGACCCGCCTGGGCAGCGAGACCTCATCTCTACAATAAATCAAAAAATCAGCCGGGCGTGGGTAGCGCGTGCCTGTAATTCCGGCTATTCGGAAGGCTGAGGCGAA